CAATGGATCCCCTGACTCCAGAGGGAGTTAACTATCGAATTTGTTAAATTTTTCTTAAATTATCGAGCTTATTGTTAAATTAAATTAAGCTCAAGTTCAAGTCCTATTCAATTATCGAATCCAAGCCAATTTTGTCAGATTCAGCTACTTGAAAACACTCGAATCTTGTTTAAAAACAGCTCAATAGACTTTTTGCTGTCAAGCTTTGAAAAGGAAATGTAACACTACTATAATACTACAAAAATACTATAAAAAAATACTACAATATTGCTTAAAAATAAGCCAATAAGCCTTTGACCAAATCTCGATTGGATTCCGTGTTTTGCCTAGTTTAAAGTCGTAAAGTAGGCAGACGCGAACTTGATATATTTAAAGTCGATCATCTAAAGCAAGAAAAAAGCTCTTAAAACTAAGAAATTATCCGTTTAAAAAGATTCCAAATATACACAAGATAACGTACTTTTAAATACAGAAAGACATGTTTTAAAAGCTTCTCTCACAACAATAAGTTTAGCAACGCTTGTTTAGATCCGAACAACCTAATAAAAAGAATAAAAAATGAAAAAGATTTGTTATTACAAATCTTGAATCGATTTCCGCATTGAATATCACATACTAGAAAGCACAAGTGACACAAAAAAAGAGGAAATTTCGGGAGAAAAACGTTATCGACACCGCCTCACATGAGCACAAAATGGCACAGGTAAACTGTGAACTTTTTGAGTTTTATTTGACTCAAAAAAACATTAACTTTAAAAACTAGAGAAATTGTTGTTGTTAACAGAGAAATTGAGAAATTGTTAACAACATTCACCACGAAACTAATGATTATTTTTGGTGTCAAGTTTTTAAGGACTTTTGTTCTTTATTTCGTAGAAGTTGTCGGTAAATTTATACTAGTTTTCAAGAGGAGATTCAAGGCTATCGAATGACTATAATAGTTTGAATTATCTTTGAATTTTCAAAAAATTATCAATGAAAAAGTAACTAAACAAAACAGTAACAGCAACGACTACACGACTATACGCTCAAAATACCGGCGAATGTGTTAAAGAACTTCTTATAGTATGCTTTAAGAATTGAAATTAAGTTACCGTAAAGACTGTAATAGTACCTCCCCTCGTAGAGTCGCGTAGTCGCAAAAGTTTTTTAGTATTTCATTTCTTGCAAAGCACCCGTACTTTCAAAAAATGCGTCTTTGGTATCAAAAAATAGCCCTAAATTCCAGGGCTATTTTTTGATACCTAAGCGCGCATTGTACCATAAACCAGTGTCGAGAAAAACGCGTCCAAAGCTAGACTACGCAACACTCCGCACCGTCATTATGGGGGCGGGGTACTATTACAGTATTTACGGTATTAGCTAAGAATGTGATTGAAAAATGTTTCGTCATTACTTGACAAATGACTCGTTAGCCAAGTCTCCTATCCACTTATCATTTCCCCCAAAGGCCCAATTTTTAGACAACTAGCACCACCATGAAACACTTCTAGGATTAAGTAAGAAAATGTGTTTGAGACTTGAATTTTGGTGTACTTTGGGCATAAAGTGAAAACCAGGGAGCTGTATTTTTAAAGGTATCGTATGGATTCTATTAGAAGAGCATGCTCTTCTTGCATTTTTCAATAAACCTCCCAAATTTTCTTCTATTTTTCAAAAACTTTTTTTATGAACAAGAAAATAAATGACCAATTTCTTCGTTATTTTATGCTTTTTGGAGTTTTACTTTACTTTGTTCGAACTATTGAAAATCTACTACTTGGAGAAAATCTACTACTATTCGAAATCTACTACTACTAATCTACTCTATCTGCGAAACGTTATGTTGTACGAATTTCTACAAGGACACAAGGGGGCTCTAATGTTTAGGTAATATTGAGATTGATGTGGAAGGAACAGCTCCACTAAAATCATTTGCTCTCTTCGATTCTTTTAACAACTTTGTTTTTACGAATCCTTCATAAAATCTTTCTAATCTTCTAAGATCTTTCTTTAATCTTTCTAAAATTTTAACTACAGAGGTATTTACTTTTATTTAGAAAAGAAGGATTATTAAGAAAAACTATTAAACTAAATTTAACTAAAACTATAAGTAAAAGTAGTTAAACAGCTACCGTAAATGGGAGTGAGACAAATGCGACCTTTTTTTCCGCACCCTGACATTTGCGCACCTTTTTTCCGCACCTTGCCCATTAGCGCACCTTTTTTCGCGTTTTAAAAAAGCTCTAAAAAGCTAATATTAACCAATTTCTATTCCAAAAGCTGTTCTTTCTAGGTAATTTTAGGGCGTAGAATCGAAATTTTGACATATCAGAGCTTGTGGAAACAAACGGACGGAGTTATACAAAGAGAAAAATCGACAATTTTCTGTAATTTGATCTAGCCGTTTTGTCTTTCAAATTAGTTCCACAAGCTCTGATATGTCAAAATTTCGATTCTACGCCCTAAAATTACCTAGAAAGACAGCTTTTGGAATAGAAATTGGTTAATATTAGCTTTTAGAGCTTTTTTAAAACGCGAAAAAAGGTGCGCTAATGGGCAAGGTGCGCAAAAAAAAGGTCGCATTTGTCCCACTCCCACCGTAAATACTGTAACAGTACCCCACCGCCCTCGTACAGTCGCGAGTCGCAAAAGTTTTTTAGTATTTCATTTTTTGCAAAGCGCCCGTACTTTCAAAAAATGTGTCTTTGGTATGAAAAAATAGCTGAAATTCAGGGCTATTTTTTGATACCTAAGCGCGCATTGTAGCATAAACCAGTGTCGAGAAAAACTCGTTCAAAGCTAGACTACGCAACACTCCGCACCATCATTATGGGGGTGGGGTACTATTACAGTCTTTACGGGGGTTAAGTTAGTTGAATGTAAGAAACTTTTATTTTAATTCAAAGCTCAAAAAACTTCAGTTATTATAGAAGAATTTCGCTGAATTTACCTCAAGTTAATCGAGTCATCGAGTTAAATAAAAATTTTACATCATTTTTACATCATCGAGATTTATTCAAAGTTAATCCCAGACTTCTTTCATAAAAGTTTGTCAAACTGCTTTTTTTTTGTTTTTCTTTTACAGGACACAAAACAGCACATTAAAACCACAAGTTTTGTTGGCTTTGGGAGAGTGAAAAAAATCAGGAAAAGAAACTTTCCTTTACGTTTTTTTGTGTCGAAGAACTTTGCGAACCACGTTGAACAAACAGAGATCGAAACACAGCACATACAGACAAGGGAAAAGTTTGAGGAAAAGAAATGAAATCAATAGAAAGTGGTCTGGTTAACGCTTTTTTTCGCATAAAATGACAGAAACTGGGGGTTAGTTAATAAAGTTTTGGCTTATTGTGAAGCTATCTGACATAGCAACTCGTCTAAAGTCTAGTCTGCGACGTTAAAATGCTTGCATTCATAAAGTCTTTTCATTTTTGCTACATCAAATTAGAATGTTACGTTTTTCGAAGTCTCATTCTAGATTTAGCAAAAGCACTTGTTTATTAAGAAGATTGATGTTTAATCAATTAAAAACAATCGCAATTATTGGTTCATTTTATCATCTCATTCTTGAGTAGTGCTTTGTGAATGTGTAAATTGCGTATTCTTGTAGAAAAGGTCTATTGTGCTACATCAAATTTGAATGTTAGAATGTTAGAAATCAGAACGGATTAAATTTCAGTATTTAGAGAACGGTGTGTGTGATTAGTTTCTTTTTATTATATTAGATTCAAACAGCTGTTTCCACAAAATATTACGCTGTTCAGAAAGTCTTTTTATCCATTTTCCATTGAAAAATCACAAATTCACCAATTAATCTATGGTTTGCTTTAAATAAAAAGTGTCTATTGCTCAATTTTCATCTTTTTAAGTCAATTTTGGTTTACTTTTAAGCAAATTCGAGAGTGAAAACGTGTTTTTTCGTAAAAATCTATTGGGTTGGTGAATTGAAAACTGCCGCCTATTGTCATATGTCACAGTTTGAGCACTTTCTTCAAAAGAAACCCATTTTGGTGTCAATGGAAAAGTTGTAGAGAATCAAAAATTAAGCTTATATACAAATTTTCAGAAGGATTCAAAAACTGGTTTTCAAGAAATGCCAAATTTACGACAAAACATTTCACAAAACTTGCATTTTAAACAAAACTACTAAGTGTATCTTTTTGGAAATTTGGCTATAAGCCTAATTTTTGATTCTCTACAACTTTTCCATTGACACCAAAATGGGTTTCTTTTGAAGAAAGTGCTCAAACGGGGCTGACGGCTGACATCTCCAGTCCTCCATTTTTGAGTCTCACACTTGTCTCACACACAAACCAAAATCCTACTACGAAAGAGGAATCCGCAAATTGTCTGTAAAATGGGCAGAAGTCGTCAATAATAATGGAAATTATTAGGAATGAATTGGTGGTTTTATGCTGAATGACATGTTGAATAAATTTTAGTTCAAAGTCCCGCAGTTTTCAATTTATCAACCCAATATTGGTGTTTTGTTCAGAAGCTGTTCAACCTATTAAGCTCGTTTCTTTTGGTACTTTCGTTGAAAAATAACAAATTCACCAAACAATCTATGATTTGCTCTAAATAAAAAGTATTTATTGTTCAATTTCCCATCTTTTTGCCTCAATTTTGGTTTACTTTTAAGCAAATTCGTGAGTGAAAACGTGTTTTCGTAAAAAAAATCTATAAAAACCTCTACGAAGAGATTGGCTGAATGAATTTCTCTGAAAATTTAGTTATATATCGAACTTTTTATGCTCTATCTTTTATCTATTGACATCAAAATTAAACCGCATCATCGAGCCGTCGCCAGAAACGAAACCTGACAAAACAAACACATTTTGAGCGCATTTCAAAACACCCTAGCATAATTTGACAAAAATCAGTACAACACAACTAATCATGACAAGGTAAATGACATTATTCAGAGCTTATTCAAAGTTTCCTGACTAGATCAAAGAAATGAATCACAAATAGATACACAGAAATTAGCTAAATTTCAATCAAATCTCAAATTATTAAAACGGGCGATAGTTTTGTCGGACTTTGTGGAGATAATCGTTTTTGAAAGCCGTCGACAAGTGATCCCAGCCACACAAATTTGCCAACTAAAGAGGAGTTAATGAGTCCGAAAAAATGGCGAGAGATATAAATCTAAAAATCTCTTAAACCGTAGCTGGCAATTCCAGCTCATCCGGCTCATTTCATACATTGTTCACAGTTCTTAGACTAACTGGATGGCTTTACAAAGTAACACATCTTAAAAATGGTTTGTCTAAAGTTCTGAAAACAGTTGACATGTGTCTATTTTGCATTCTAAAACCGTCCTCCGTCTAAAACCTAAAATCTCACCTCCGACAATGTCCTCTCCTCCAATTCCGGAATTTTCCCAGCAGCTCTCGTCTCATTCGTGTACTTTTCAAGAGATTTGATCGCGATTGCGTGGTACTCGTTGGCGATTGCATATTTTGCGTATGGTAAATGCATCTGAAATTTTTCTTTTGCTTTTTATTAGGCTGTCCAGAAAGTCTTTTCGTTCATTTTTATAGCCAAATTTTCAGAGAAATTCGTTCAGCCAATTTCTTCGTAGAGGGTTTTTATAGATTTTTTTACGGAAAACACGTTTTAACTCTCTCGAATCTGCTTGAGAGTGAACCCAAATTGACTTAAAAGGATGGAAATTGAACAATAAACACTTTTTATTTAGAGCAAACGATATATTAATTGATGAGTTTGTGATTTTTCAACGGAAAAGGAACGAAAAGACTTTCTGAACAGCCTAACATTTTGAGTCTTATTGGTTGCAATAAAAAAAAGGTTGCGCACAAACCTTTGCATCATCGAGGTTGACGAACTTTTGCAACTCAACGAACGCGTCTTCCAAAGCGGTGGCTGGGTTGAAGGCCTGAATTTATATTAGATTGAAAATTATCCAATCGAGTATAAGTATAATTATCTCTTACCTTATCCGTAGAACTGGTTTGTCCATTCACTTCAACGGGAATCGTCGTTCCATCAGCTGTGACTGGAGTCTCGGGCTTATTCAGTTGCTCCCAAAACGTGGCCGGAGCTCGGCTCTAAACATTGGGTTTTAAAACTTTCTAATATTGTCAATAATTATTATATTTTTATAATTGCTTCATTTCTAACCTTTTCCAGTTTAGCGATCCTCATCTGAGCGAAATGGGCGACTTTCAACGTTAACACCTCGATGATTGCCTCTTTTTTCTGGTCAAACTCTCTGAAATTGAAGATTTTGAAAAATATGCTACAGCTTTTTATTAGATAACTTTAGTGTCATTGTTTGAAATCAAAAACACTGCTCTAGGCTTCTAAAACCTAAACCCACTCCTTCTTCGAAGCCAACTCCACTGAAGCCTCTTGGTTGAGTGTGCCCATAAAGGCCAGGACCTGGGAAATAATATTTTAATCGGTTTTCAAAGTTTCATGATATTTTTAAACTCATTATTTTTTTGACACTAACCTTGTCCGGATTGCAGTTTTCCAACACGAGATTCGCCTTCTCGAGGAACAAATCGTGAGCTGCCTCTTTGGAGCCATTCTAAAGGGAAATTGTGTAAATTTTTAGCTTGCTAATTGAATATGACGAGATGACAAATTTAGTTTTCCAGCTTTTTAAACACACCTTTCCATTCGCAAGAGCCGCAAGTCTCCGAACAAAAGCCATTTCTAACGGTAAATGGAAAACCTCGGTGACGGCCTCCGCGTGCAGCTTTTGAACCTAAATTTATAGAGATTGATATCAGAATGCATGTTTTACGATTCAATTTCCAATTCATTAAACATTTCAGACTCTACTTAAATTATTGTTATATTCTTACAAGATTTGACCAACCTCTTCCAGTTTCTCCATCTTCTCGATGTGTTTGATCTTCACGTCACGAAGTGCATCTAAAATTTTGGATCATTTAGCTGAGAAACAGTCACTATGGTTCAGTGGCTGAGTTGTCTGGATCTTAATTCTTTTTTTGAATTTAAAACCAACTTGTCAATTCTTGTTCCGGTGTCAGTTTCTCCTTTTTCGGCGCCTCCAATTCCACCATTGAAAGGGCTTTTGATTGCCGTTTTGATTCGGGTGTGACCACGTGGAGAACGACGGGAACTTGGTATTTCTGGAAACGAAAATATAAAGTATATTCATTCATTCAATCAAATGACTCGAACAGATGGTTTACACTATCTCTGTGCCACAGAAAGGCTCAGTTACATGTTAAGCATAAAATACAGCTCGAAGTGCAAGTCTAGTACTAGCTTTTAAAATTTCTAACATTATGAGGAGTTCAGATGTTTGATTGAATGAGAAATCATACATCTTTCCACTCGCCACCAAACGGGGTGAAAACTCCGCGTACGATCGTCCCAGCCGGGGGTTTGCCCAATCTAAAATTGAAACTGCAAGATTTGATTTGCTTTTGATTAGCACGCTACAACAAACTTTGTGAGTGAAAAACACGCTTTATTATCATTTTTTTTAGGAACCACACTACACCAAACAAACCCCAAACAGTTTCAGTGTACCTGTTCCATCTGGAAAATTTGTGAAAACCATGAATTTCGAAAACTTTTGTAACTCACTTTTCTTCGGGAATGTTTTGCACGAAGATTGTTGCCCGTTGTGACGGGGCGAGCATCATTTTCTCCCATTTTCCTTTACTGTCTCCCTTGGCGAGAGCGGCAGCTGATTTGAAGCAATCCGATGAGATTGGAGTCCCGAGTTTTTGGTACATTCTAAATCGTGAAATTTTGTTTTTTTCAATTTGATTAGGTTTTTAAGAGATAATTATTGGTTAATTAACTTATAAGCTAACTTGACGGGTTTCGAAAAAGCGGCTCAGCCAAGAAAAATGTGCCAACACAAAAAAGGCTTGTATTTTAGGGTAGATGTGGGACCAAAAATCAGATTTGGTCCATCGAAACATAAAAGATCTTGGTTTTGCCAACATTGAAACAAAGTTGCGCTAATCTTAAGGAGTGAAAATGTCAAAATTTTAAAAAACATGTGTCCCCTTCTTTTTGATTCTCTATTTGTTGCCAAATTTTCAGCCCAATCGGTCGACCACGACCAACGTTGGACATAAAACTTCGTAAATCGATTTTTAAAAAAACGGCTAAGCTCAAAAAAGGGGCAACACAAAAAGTCTTGTATTTGGGTGTAGATGTGCAACCAAAAGTCCTTTCCGCCGATTTCAACAAAAGCGTACGGACGGGGACGGACGGAAGGAAGGAGATGTTAGTTTTCTATAGATAGATAGTTCACTAGTCTATCTAGTATAGCATTACTTGAGTTGGTGGCTAAAAAAACTTCCAATTGAAATTTGTGGCACATCTGTTTTGGCACTGGGATCAACAATAACTTATTGGGCTTGAAACTAAATTTATACCGCTTATAAGCCCCAAAAAGTAGCAACCCATGCTTTCGGGCTATCTCTCATTATTAGCAGGCTTCGAGAGTCAACACAACAAATGATTCTACTTAAGTAGATGGACACTTTTAAGCTCTAAGAATTTACATAAATTCTGAGTTGATCTAAGGTTTGTACTTAATACGTTTGTTTTCCAAACAACTCAATATTCCTTTTTCTAAACTCACGTCAAAGTGGCGTCTTTCAACTTCTCTAAAGCGCTCTCTTCTGGGTGTCGAACTTGGACCATCACCTTGTACTCGCCCTTCTCCAGTTTGATCGTGTACTGGAATACCTTTGTCAAGAGATTCCTGTCCTTATTCTAATTTTCAATTTAAAATCAATGCATACCCGATCCCGGAAGCTGCTCGTTCCACCCAAATACTCCTTCGAGTTTGAGAAGACTTGCACAAAGATGTCATCGTACGGACTCTCGTACAGATACTCTGACAATCCACCGAGCTCGAATTGGAATTCCGAGTTTTTCGTCACTAAATTTCCATTTTAATCTAATAGGTTATTGCTTGAAAACCTGTGACTTTATAGGTGAGCACAATTTTGTTGATCTGGATCCCATCAAAGAAGAGATCTCGATTGCCAAGTGGTTCAAGCTTAATCTCGGTTGGCTTGTAGAAAGTCGAGATCTGAATTGTTAATTTTAGACCTGCATAACTTTCCAAAACTTTCTAAACATTATAAAGAATATTGTTACCGATTTGAATGAGACTGATGGCTCGAATTCAATGGGCAAATCGGAGATCGTCTCGAAAAAGAAACGGTTTGAGACTGAGGCTGTGGTCTGAAAAATAACTGTCGATAAGCTCAAACCGCTAGACTTGTGCTAGCTTTGAATTTAATTTTAAAACTTGTAAGTTGTTGTATGAAGCTTTATACAAAGTACAATGCCGTACTAAATATAAGAGGTTACGTGTATTACGTCATATAATCAACCCAGACTTACCAAATGAACAACTGCATCATGAAGCAGATTGAAGAAAGAAACGTTCAATTTTGCCTTGAGTTGTTTATAGGAAAGAGTTGCCAAAGTAGCACACATTTCAAGGGATCTTCCTGGGACAACTTTCATCAAAAAAGCACGCGTTTCTTTCTCGGATGCGAAGCTCTAAAAAATGAATGATTTGCAGGTTTAATGTTCAAGATAACAAAATAAATCTCATTTCTTGAGAACCCAAAATCTTTTCAATACCTTGGAAAGTTCATGGCTTCTCATCGCATGATCGGGGATGTTTTGAACGCCGTGGAGCACAATTCGCTCATTCGTTGCCAAAGGTGGAGAGCTGACTTGGACACCTTAAATTTATTTTAGATATTGTAATAGATCAACTGCCTACTTAATTATCTAGTTGTTCTAGTCAAAGTAAAACTCACAAGCAATATTCTTATCCTCAGGCACGTGAATCAGTCGCCTTTCCACGACACCGGCTGAGAGTTCCATCTGAACGAATTTTGATATTAGCTTTGTTGGTTTTTGGTTGTAATAAGGTTTTTTTAAAGTGCTGTGCTAGAGTTTATGAGTTACATGAGGGAATGCTTATTATACCTCAAATTCGGTTTCCTTTCTTGGCGGCAAAATCGCATAGGGTATCCGGAAAACGATTCGTCCCGCGTGATCTCGGGCAGCAATCTAAATTAAATTTTCAATAGTATGCTTTGCAAATAGCTACAGGATCTGGCTATTATTTTTTAAATTTAGCTAAAACTAACTACAGGACGCTGATTATGTTGCAAAATCTAGTTATCTTACCCATCCTCTAGTGTGCTGTTTCTGTGGATCTTCCATTCCGTTGTACTCGAGCAGCACGGAGAACGCGCACTCACCAGACGTCAAGTTCAATACCTCAGGAATCTAGATTATTGCGTATGGCTTAATTCTATGTAAAAACATTTTAGCTTTTAAATTCTCTATTAAAACTTCCCTTAACTGCCATGATTTATACAAAATGGTCTTTAAATTAGCCGAATTCCTACCTGCCATGAAATGGCTTTGCTGCAATGTGGCACTGATTCATCCCCGCCGATTCGTTCCAAGGTTAAGCGTTCAAGAAAGTTCGTTTTCTCGATGACATCTAGACAAAAAATACTTTCATTTGTTCATTTCATGTAGTCTAATCAACGTGACTAACAACTTACTGGCTGTTTTTGGGAAAAGTGGCTCGACAGTTATTGCATATTTGAGAGGACCGTTTGAAAAATCGGCAAGATCACGGAGATATATCCCGCGGAATGAACCCGGGACTCCCCAACGTCGGCAAGACACCTGAAGGAGAACTTAAAACTGAAGCTGAACTTGTAAAAGGAGAGACAACTAGAATTCTAATCTTATGTTAGCAGTTTTTGGAAAGAAGCCTTACTCACCTTCACATCGAACAGGTTCAACTTCTTGGCCTCGAAGTTCGACAGGAAATCGTAGGCATCAGAGATCTAAAGAAACTTATATTAGTTGTGCCTACAAGTACTTTACTAGACTATGTACTTAAGTTATCAGTATGAGCTACAAACCTTCAACATTCCAGCCAAACATCCATTCAATGGTGCCGCTGATTGTTCAAGAGCCAATCGAATCTCGTACGGAGAATAGTTCTTCTTGTCTTCTTTCAACTTTGATAGCAGACAAGCCACAGCTCCAGCAGCATTCGGTGAGCTCATACTTGTCCCATTCATTAATTGATTGCACTTCCGAGTGTATTTGGGCACTTCAGCAAACGCGGCTCCCGGAGCATAGATTGACACGCCGTCAGCACCATCGGCACTAAAAATGGCCGTGTTGGTTTTGAATATTGATTTGCCCGGAAAGTCTTGTCCGTCTTTTTGAAATTTTTGCTTATAAATGAATAATTAGCCGATCAACGTGTAGTTTGCTTTAAATAAGAAAGATTAACGATTTCCTTTAGCTCATTTTTAGGCAAATTTGAGTTCGCTTTGAAGCAAATCCGAACGGGAATTCTTGTTTTTCCTAAAATCCTTACAATAGACATAGAATGGTGAAATGTTATGAAAATTTGTCGATCTGCCTAACTTATCATTCTCTATCTTTTGTCTTTTGTCACCAAGATAGGTTTCTGTGACAAAAGGTGCTCAAATGGAAACTTTCAGTTTTATCGTTTTTGACGGCTCCACTTTATACATTTAAAAAATTAACTAATGCGAGCTTTTCAAGATTTCTTAAAGGGTAATTTGAAAATAAATAATAGGACTTTCTGATAAAGCAAACAAGATCGACTGGCTCATTACTAATTTCAAAAATTAAGCTTTAAAAAAGCGGACAAGACTTGCCAGCCAGCCTGATAATTACAATCATTTCGTTTAAGTCAATCAAAGCCTACCTTGGCCCACAACTTGACCACAAGAACGGTGCCGGCTTGTTGACATTCATCGCCGTTCCATAAAGTTGTGAGAGCTGATTGGGTAGAAGCAAAGCGCCAACACCTGGAAAATACTTTGATCAGCCTGCAACTGGATAAACTATTATGGAGCTGATAACTGATGTAATTTTACAATTTACCAATGACTCCAGAAGTCGTTCCACCCGGACATCCAACCGATGAGAGAGCCGGACCATTATTGCCAGCGGAAGAGAAGAAAAGCGTCTTCCCGCCCTCCAGCAATTTCTTCAACTCGTCAATCACCCGTCTAAAATAAGTGTAAGGCTTAACTTTCGATTTCTCTTTCTGGATTTACCCAGTATCCGTAAAATCGACTCCTTCTCCATATGACATATTGATCACATCGACATCGAGATCTCGGCAAAGTTTGAAAGCTCTCGTCAACGCTGTTCCCGTCTCAGTTGCATTCAAGCGAGCATCGCCAATGCAAATTGAGATTACCTGGAAAGTGTTCATAGCTAGTCTTATTTTCAACTCATTGAAAGCTGTAGTACTTATCCGCCACGTACTTGCCAGTACGTGGAAGATGGTTCTGGATAAGTACTAGAAGGACACATAAAGCAGAAGAGACGTTTGTCCGTCTGTGCGCAGCTATTATTGGCAAAAAAGAGCGGGGCTTAGATTGCGCGGAAAACGTGGACCTCCCTTGTGGAAAACGTGAACGTTAGTGTGAGTTTTCCGCTGGTAGGGGGAATAAGATACCAGTGCCAACAGAGTAAAACGAGCCAAACTCAGTTCAAGTGAAAACATTGCTATTAGGTTGAGTGCTAAGTCTTTCACCAAAATCCATTTTCTAATTGAATAAGTCTCAAGCTACCAAATGAAATACAATTTTTTTAATGAGATAGCGCAATCATTTCTCTTGCAAATGACTTTTGAAAGTTTCTGAAAAGCTTTATTTTGAAGGTTTTTTATTAGCAAGTCGAGTGTTCAAAAAAGACAAGGTCCGATGATGCGATTTGGACCGTTTCTTCGAATGAAACCCATTCTGTCGACAAAATAAAAAAGATAGCGCACAAAAAGTTAGGTCTACAACCAAAATTTCAGAATAATCCCTTTAGCGGTTTTCTTTATATGCTCATTTTTCAATTTTTTAAAATTATAAATACCAGTTTTCGTTTCGTTCTCGCAGTTTATTCTAAAATATAAAAAATTATTTGCAAACGACAAAAATAAACGATAAACATTTATAATGAAAGAAAATGTTTGGTATTTGGTAGTTTGAGACTCGTTCATTTAGATAATGAAATGAAGACTTAGTACTCAACCCAAATAGATTACCCACCTTTGCACCTGGAGCCAATCCATTCAAATCTGGATTTTTCGGGTAGTTGGCGGCAGCAATCGATGCGACATGTGATCCGTGACTTCCACACGCCGTCACGATCTCCAATTTCTTCTCATCCGGATAGATGTTGAAAGCATAAGTGAGCTGATCTAAAACAATATTTCGATGGAATACTTTAATTTCTAACTCACCTCCATCAATCGTCCCCTCGGTGAACTCATAGGTTTCTCCGTAAGGACCCATCGGTCGACACATGCCCAATTTGCCTCGAAAAGATGTATCAAGCAAAGCCCTGGAAATTTTTGGTACTAAATTCTATATCTAAAATTTATCTAAGGTTTCGAATTCTAAGCTCACTTCCAAGATTTTCCATCATTCCACATCAGCACATCGGCCACCGGCCCTTTGTCCTCTTTTTTGATGTTGTCTTTGAGGAAATCGACTCGACAGGCGAGATCCTCGCGTTTCAAACGCTCTTTCTAAAGTTTTAAAAGAAATTATCATACTTTCAATTAACAAAAACATCATCAATTTTTACTAACCCGATCCGATGCCTTTCCTCCAATTTCTTTCTCGTGTTCTTCGAGCGCTCGTCGAGCATTTGCCAACGCAAGGTTTGAAGAGGATTCCCAATTTGGAGTGTGCCGCTCTTTCTGAAGTGATAAGATAGATAAATGAAGATTTTCTTTTAAATATTAATTCTATCAACAACTTACATCCATTGCTGCTTTCAACCCTTTCACATAAAGCTCGTGAATCGGCTTGACCCCCAGATAGAATTTCCCTGACGGATTGTTGAGATTTTTGATTGCTGCCACCTATTGATTTGAATTTTAATGATTCCAAAGATTTTCAATTGTTGCACTCACATTCAAGGTTCTGCCCGTCAGTCCAACAACTTTCCCATCTTTTGACGTAACTTGATGAGAGCAGTCAACATCTCCAGCACCCGAACAATCGAAGATGTTCACGAGTTTTGGTTCACCAGTTGTTGTAACCTAAAAATAATGATTTGAATAAACAATTTATATTCAAACTTATATCTTGTTTGATGAATCATGAAATTTTCGGCTTAATAAGTTGTAGAAATCACCTGCATTCCTTCGAGCTTCGGATCGACACCCGTATCCAGAATCGCAATTTTTATTCCCCGTCCATCACTGTTGGGGTATTTTTGGAGAAAATCCTAAAATAAAGAATGAAGAAATTATAAGTTAAAACACATCTACAATTTCTCAATCCTTCTAATTTCTTAATCTTAATTTTAAATCCTTAATTTCAAACGTACTCCAAGACTCTCGAGCTTCGGCGTCATCACCGAGTCGAATGGCCGCGTGATGCTCCAAATATCGGTCGACATCCCGTTTTCGCAAGGCTGAAAATTAGTAACGTATTAAGATTCCAAAAATCCAAATTTATGGGTCGAAATCCTACCAAAACTGCTAAATCTTTTAACCAAAAAACACTAATTCCCAATGATTTTCCAAAACGAGAGGAATAACAAGATATTCGCGGTTGGACTGACTAGCGTTTATAGAAAAAATGTTTAGATTTTTAATAACTTTATCGGTGATACGAAAGACGGAGGCCCGAAGACCAATAAAGTAGAAGGACCGGGAAAAGTACAGAAACTGTGACTGTGAAAACTTTCCTGAATAAAACCTTTAATAATTTATTATTATTTTTAACTTTAAATACAAATTTGCCATCATTTCCCTTACCACATTCCCCTCTGGTGTCGTCGAGGTTTGTGCCACATTTGGGTCAACAGTTGCGGGTCCTTTCTAGAAAAGAAAATGCCAGTATTTACCGTAAAAATTCTAATAGAAGATCAGCCCCTTGAAATCGGGACTTTTTGAAACTTCTTTTAGGTAGAATGGTAGATTTAGGTCCAGATAGTATTTTAGCCTCGGCAGTAAAATTGAAAACGACTTTTGAAAAATAATTTTTTGAAAGAAATTTCATGTGGGGGACCACATGGATTTTTTGGAAGATTCGCTAAGGGGTAAAAAATTATTTTACTTTTAAGCATGTTTTTCGAACGTTTTATGCCAAAGGCTATCGTTTAAAATAGTTTTTAACCATTTTTAATTTTTTGATTCATCTGGGGGACCTTTATCCACTTTTTGACCGGCCAATTTTAGGGGGTTGAAAATTAGAAGGCCATGATCTTCTATTAGAATTTTTACGGTATATCATTTCCTTGTAAAGGTATTCAACTATAAGCGTAAATGCTATTTTTTTCAGTCATGTTTACAATCAAAAACTCACCGAAGTAAGCATCCTGAGAAAAACCGTCTTGCAAGAGAAATATCCTAGACCCGTTGAAGGAGTTGAGCTAAAAGAAAACAATAAAATTTTAGTTTTTCATTTAGTATTAATTATCAGATGATAATTTAAATTTAAATCTTAATCAAATTTCAGTTTTTAATCAAACCTTTGTAGAAATAGCTTTGATGTTTCCGGTGCAATGGCGTGTCCTCGTCGAAAAACGAGACAACCGAAACGATATGCCAGATCTACAAAGGAGATTTTAAAAAATGAAAAGAAAAAGGTTCTAAAAGAAGAGATGTCGAAAAAAGATAAAATATAGAAAAATGAGCATTAAATTGTAATAGTTTGAAAGACTTTAGTCATGTCCCTCGTTTTACAGTCGAACGCTGAGAACTGAGCTGAGAGTTTATGGCCTCGTCGCGATTTGCGCACGATTACGAGAGTATTGGGAGGCGGTTTTACTAAAAATTAACTCCCAGTTGAAAGAAAAGAGATACCCGATCGAATATTACATGAAAGTTTAGTGTTTAGGGTTTTTTAAAGTCAGTAACTAACTCCCTTACCTAATACCTTTAGACTTACCAACCCTTTTCTAAAATGATTTGACACGAAACCCAAGACAAAATAACACGCGTCGTGCAAGATTACTTAGATTTGCGTTTTAGTTAAAAGGAATTGGCTAAGTTGAGTTTATACGCTATGTGTAAACGGATTCAAAACAATGGAGCGGAAGGAGCCAAAAAGAAAACGAAATAAAACAATATGAAAAGGAGGAAACGAACGGGGGAAGAGAGTACTTTAAAAACGCCCTACAAAAACATAACAGATTTTATGAAAGGGGAAGAAAACCTAGCGACACTCGGCATAAAAGCCGGACAACATTCACGATTCCACCATGGACTGCCGAAAAATGAAAAGAATGGCAAAAGAGAATTTTTGTGCGGGGTACGGTAGCGCATCCACGCTTTAGAAAGCGCGACGCGCCGGTCCTTTAAAACCGTACGTCAATTGGAATGAAGCTCTAAAAGGAATCGGAGAAGTTTATGATTCGACATTTGGCTGACTAATCAATATAGCGAAACTCTGGACTTGACAATTCAAGACTAGACTTGATGATTATAAGACTTGATAAAAAGTTTATCCAATGGATAATATGTATATGTCGTAGCCGTTTACGAAATTCAGCCGCTAACGAATGAGGGTATTTCCGGGCATCCAATCAAAAAGTCACCCACATAAAAAATGTTCATAATACATATATTTTATAATAAATTTTTGAAATTAGCTCATTTGGTTCCGTAGCAAATTTTTTTTTGAGCCCCCAAAGCTTGGGCTTAAAAATGCCCTAAAATGGCTATGAAAAATTTTCTACTCAGCTAAAAAACTTGCCTAATAGCTCATTTTGTAGCCCATTTGATGTAGTTTCTTAAAGTAAAGCTACATTGAACATTTGTTTTTCAAAGCTAGGAGAAAGAAGGCAAGGAACGACTCCAGTTGAACTCGGTCGCTGTTTTCACATTTGGGAATTGCTCTGAATTTGTTCCTCTTTCTCCTACTTTCAAAGAAAAATTGTTTTAGATGGCTTTACTTTAAGAATCTACATCAAATTGGCTATAAAATGAGCTATTAGGCAAGTTTTTTGGCTGAGTAGAAAATTTTTATAGCCATTTTAGGGCATTTTTGAACCTAAACTTTGGGGGCTCAAAAAAAATTTGCTACTGAACCAAATGAGCTAATTTCAAAAATTTATTATAAAATATATGTATTATGAACATTTTTTATGTGGGTGACTTTTTGATTGGATGCCCGGAAATACCCTCATTCGTTAGCGGCTGAATTTCGTAAACGGCTACGACATATACAGTGGTCCACAAAAGTAATGCCCCATTGCCATTCAAAAGTATATTTTGCAAAATTCCTCCTGAAAACATGTATTTAAAATATATATTTTTTTCTTTTAATAAACTTTAGAAATTCTAGTTGTTAAATAACTGGATTTTTTGATTGAGATCCTTCCAATCCAAAGATCGATGTGGAAGAGTGCACTTACCCCTAAAATTAGCTCCACAAAAGTAATGCCCCATTGATCGTTTTCATGATTATTCTTTTTGTTTCCGCTTCTATGAACATTAAGTGTATTCTATTGTATTATTTAGATTCCTGACATGAAAAATCTTGACACTCCGACGAAGCTCCAAATCGCTAAGGCCCGGGAAAATGGGATGCGGGAGAAGGATGTGGCCAACCTCTTCAATTGCTCGATATGGACAGTGCGTCGCATTTTTTCTCAATCAAAAACCGGCAAAAACCTTCATCGAGGCCTCAAGAGTGGCCGACGACAAAAGAAGATCAAGCCGTGATCCAAATGGTGGAAAACGATCCGAGCAAAACAGCAACCGATGGAAGCCAAATGATGAGTGATCAATTTAGCAAGATTGTTTCGCCGGAAACGATCAGACGACGATTAAATCAAGCTGGATTATATGCAAGATGGGCTGCCCGTAAACCTCTGATGAATTCTAAGCACCGGAAGCAGCGCCTGGATTTTGCACGGACCTACCGAAGTTGGACAATAAGTGATTGGGCGAAAGTGCTATTTACCGATGTGACAAAAATCAATTTATTTCACCCGGACGGAAACCATCTTATCCGGCGGCCGACTGGAAAGCGAGACACACTCAAGTACATTTGGCCTTCGGTAAAATTCAACGGCGGAAACATAATGTGTTGGGGTAAGAGCCTTTTTAGTATTTTGTCACCTGACTGTTTTTCTTTAGGAGCGATGTCACGAACTTCAGTAGGTCCATTAGTTCACGTCAACTCAACGATGAATGATGTAGCTTACAAAAACATTATGGAGACCCAAATGCTGCCTTTTGCCACACAGGCGATGCCTCTTGGATGAATGCTCTGCCAGGGCAACGACCCGAAACACAAGTCAAGGCTCATGATGGGAACGGTGGTGACTCTTCAGAATGGTACACGAGTACGACTTCCGGGCTGGTTTGCGGCAAATCGAGTCAAATTGATCAATTCGCCTCTCTACCCACCGGATATCAATGTTATCGAGCATGTCTGGTCATTTGTGAAGTCGCGACTCAAGGGAAAGAAATTCGATTCGAAGGCTGCCTTATGGGTTCACATTCAACGTCTCTAGGCCACCATCCCCCAAAGTCTTTTGAAGAATATCGTGGATTCCATGCCGGATCGACTCAATGAAGTAATAAAAGCAAAATGAGGACCAACCAAGTATTGATTTTTAAAAATGGTGTTAATTCTTTGCAAATGGGGCATTACTTTTGTGGAGCTAATTTTCAAGCAACTTATTGGTTTTGTTTTATAATTTAATTTGTATGTAAAGTATAGGGATAAATCTTATATTCTTGAAAAGTAGAGTCTTATAGGTAGATAAAAATACCCTACTCTTTTTCTGAAATGTCGATTTTGCAAGATTTCCTTACAAAACATACTGTTGGATGGCAATGGGGCATTACTTTTGTGGACCACTGTATTTTGTGGATAATTAAGTCAATTATCTGTTTGTCAAACAGACTTTATCTATTATAATTGCAATTAGTTCATTGTTTGGACAATTAACGGGCACTAGTTCTTTAGGGAAGCTATTGCTTATAGTTATCAAAGCCTTGTTTAGATTTTAGTAGATTTTACCAGAATATGTCTAGCCCAAAAACTTTGTCTTGGAAATTTTTCCCAAAAGCAGTTGATTTCTTGTTTTCGTTTCGCTCCAATTTTCAAAGTTCTAGTTTTCTCGAATACCTTGTGATAAGCCAATGATCGCTCAATCACTCCGTGAAATTGAAGGAGTAAACAAGTGAACAAGCAAAAAAGAAAGCAAAGAGAAAGCGAATGAAGAATGCTAATTCGATGCCTCAAGAAAGATGGGCTTAACGCTTAAGTTTGAGTGCAAAGATCAATTCTACACCAGTTCAAGATAAGTCGAATTCAATAGTACGGATTTAAAAGTGGTAAAATGTTTTTAAAACAACTTTTTTGCCATAAAACTTGCGTAGATTGTTTAAAAGTGAATTGAATTTTGAAGAGTTTTTTGGCTGAAGACATAGTTTTTTACAGACAGAAGAACCGAAATTTTGCTCAACATTCGACGACTTAAACAATGAAGATACCAGTTGAATAGTTGAGTTTCTAGGTGTAATAGTTGAATCTCTAAAGTTTAAAATGGAAAGCTTGTACCAAAAAGTTTTTGATAAGTTTGAAAGGTTGGTAAAAAGTGAAAGGATAAGTTCGAAAGGCTCTCAAAGTTCTCAAATCCCATGATTCAGACAAATCACGCCATTTGTTGACGGAAAAGTGATAAACAAAAACAAAGAGCAAAAAAGAAAACCACGCCACAGGCAAAGTCAAAGAAAAATCAGACTACAAAAACTTTTTCATCTTTTCTCCGAGATTCCGCATTGTCATCTAGTATAACTCAGGGGATTTACGGCGGTGAACGAAGAAAAACGGGTCCCGCCACGACTCGCCTCTCGATTTTTATGTGCTGTACACAGCGTGAGGCCGCCCGTACACGCCACGGAATTATCCATTAAAATTTTCAATTCTTTTATGCAAATTTTATTTTACTAACAAATTTTTGACACCTTTATATAGCCCATTTTTTTCTCTATAAGAACTATCAATTACCACTTTGCCGTTGGTCAATGCGGCTTTGAAAAATTGCCTTTCAAATTTTACATAACGCAATTTATTTCGAAATTGAACACCTTATGAAATTGGGATTTTTCAAAAAGTATTTTTTCGACCAGTTTTGCTTTTAAGATAAAGATATTCAGTTGTTAACAAGTGATTTCAAACTTTTCAACGATTTAAACGATTTATCGATTGAAATGACTTTTGGCGTTGACCCAAGTTATCGATTGATTTTATTAATTTTATAGATTTTACTTGATAAGTAGAGATTTTAAAATTTTAATGTATTTCTATATAAATCCTGTAAGATTATTGATTTCTTGCGTTTTTTTTTCTTTGAGGGATTATTGTTGACTCGTTTCATTTGCAAAAGATGAGCTACCGTAATCGGATTGATGGCGCACATTTGAGTTGAGGCAAAAAATAAAAAAGAGTATTAGATTAGGCTATTAATGTGACAAAGAAATTTATTTGAATTCATTTTTCTTTCCATTTTTCTTTCATTTTCCTTTTTAATTTTTCCTTTTAACAATTCAAGTTTTTAGTTAAACCGGCGACTTTTTCATACTTTGACCGCTCTTCTCAACAAGAAAAGGTTTGTTTACTTATTGTTATTTATATTGTTAAGAAAGTTAATATTTAACAGTAGGATATAGTATTATTTACTTCATAAAATATCATGTTATGATACTTTTCTTAAGCTAACTTACTTACATTAAGCATTCTAGTTGCTCAAAGTCTTTAAACTTTTCTTAAACTAAGCTAAATTCAAAAGTTTAAAGACTTTGAGCAACTAGAATGCTTAATGATTGGGCTGGATTAGATTACCTGCAAAGCTGTCTTCAGCACAAAATACATACCTAGTTTTAAAGCCAATTTTCACTTCTAAATCTTGTTGCTTCTAATTTAGTTGCTAATGGTGCTAACTTATGCAAAAATTTTTTTTTTTAGATGCTGCGAACTCAGCAACGTGGCGCCGCCGTTGTTGCGCATTTCGACCCAGCGGCCGATGAGAAGATCGATATTGAGACTGTTGCTTACCCGATACAAGATATTGATGTGAAAGTGGAGAATGATGAGGTTAGCAAATTTATTTGTAGTTTTTGTAAATATTGTACGTGTTGTAAGTTGTAAGTAATGGTACTCTAACTAAACTTATAGCCACATCCGAAATTTACCTAACTCCCCTTTCTCCAGTTAATTAAAAATTCATAGTTACCAAATAGTTGGAATTTTATGCAGTACTTACAATTGTTGGTGTTAGACACATCAAAGATGTTAGCCAACGATTTTTTTTGTAACTGTTTGTTTGTAGCTAACTAATCGTAGCTATTAAATTATTCAAGAAGTTTTCAGCATCACTCTTCACAAAACCTCAAGCGTCCCACCCCATCCAGAACCCCGCATCTCTCCGGGAAATTCCAGAAGATCAACATTGTCGATCAGAAAGTGGAAAAAGAAACGAAGAGTGAGACCGAGGTTAAGCGGTTAGTTTCAGAATTTGGATTTGTAGCCAAATCTCATTTTATTCTTTTAGGACACCCGGTCGTCCCTCTAATGGACCCGAACTTCCCGAAGAGGTGGCGCTTCTATTGAATTTCTCGACACAAGGGAAAATTCAACGAAACACTCCAAAGTCGCCGTCAACGTCGAATGCTACAAATGAACAGGTATGACTGGAGCAGGGCTATTAGGCTGTCCAGAAAGTCCTTTCGTTCCTTTTTGTACTTCCCGTCCAAACCAACAAATGCACCAATTAAACTATGGTTTATTTCATTGGAAAGGTCAATTATTTTTCTGCAAAATAACATTTAAACGGGTTTAAAATGTCTGAATTTTTTTGGGAGCGTGAAGTCGGGTAGTCAAAAAGAGTGACGGCTCGATGATGCGGTTTAGACACACTTTAGCTAAGAAAATCTACTTTGATGTCAATAGATAAAAGATAGAGCACAAAAAGTTAGGTATGTAGCCGAGAAACCCATTCAGCCAATTTCTTCGTAGAGGCTTTTATAGATTTTTACGAAAAACACGTTTTCACTCTCTCGAATCTGCTTGAGAGTGAACCCGAATTGACTTAAAAAGATGGAAATTGAACAATAAACACTTTTTATTTAAAGCAAACCATAGATTAATTGGTGTATTTGTTATTTTTCAACAGAAGTATGAAAAGGAACGAAAAGACTTTTTGGACAGTCTAATAGAACACGACTAGGTAGGACTGACTCAAGTACTGCAGTCGTATAAATGCCAACAATATGGATAAAATCTTAGCTTTATTTAGCTGTAAGCAAAGTTTGAGCAATGAGCTTTGTTTCAAATCATCACACAGCACATTTCAGTTATCTCGAAGTCCACAAAGTTTGCCGACGATTCCCGCGCAGGGTCCCCTCATCGCTCCCGTGCAGAAAATCCTTCGCCGTGTCCCGCCCATTCAACCCGATCAAGTGAAACTCTCCAAAAATCAAACACATCCCAAAATGGATCCAAACTTTCATCTACAAGAGATTGAGGTGTGTATTAGAGTCGAAATTTTAGCTCACGATTCGTATAGTATGTAATTGATCTTGTTGCCTGGTTACTCAAGTATTCCTAAAAGTATTTCAAAAATTATCCTTATCAACTCATTGTCGACCAATTTTTGTAAATCTAGACCTAAACTAACTGAAATTTGATGAGAAAGAACCACTTTTCTCTTTCAACAAACTTGCTTACGCTAGGAAAAATTTTCGTAAAAACGAGCTGTAATTCCGGCCTTTTTCTTTTGCTACAGTTAGAAAATGGGATTGAAACTAGCTTAGTTGTTTAGCTTTAAAAAACAATTCCATAAGCAAGCTTTCCAGGTAATCGAGACTTACATGGATGAGACAGAGGTGCCTGTGGGTGACGAAGTCGTTGTATTCGCTGACGACTTGGGTGGGCACGATTACACATTCGCTCACGCGGCACCATTCAATGTGCGAACGATTCGACAAAGAGCATCACTGACATCACCGATTAATGCACTTCATGTTGAAAGGGAAAAGAAATTTGGGAGAAAGACGAAGATTTTGGGGAATGGAGATGAAAAACCTAAGCCGAAACGAGGACGGCCACCACGATACGCACTGCCGCCTGATACGCCGTTGGAGGATGAGAGCAAAGTATGTTAAAAGTTGATACAAGTTAAGACTTATATTGAAATATTTTCTCATATTGATTTTGATATTGATCAAACGCAACTTGTCAAACAACCAAAACAAGAAGTTGTTTAAGATCAAATTAAGATAAAACATAAACAAAACTATAAAAATCCAAAAGTTTCGACCACGGAAGGATTCGAACCTTCAATCTTCTGCTCCGTAGGCAGACGCGTTATCCATTGCGCCACGCGGCCACGCGTTGTAGGGCTTTGAGAAAGACTAATGGATGGCTACGGCCTCCCGCCAAAACTTGATTGATGATTTAGCATACCATACTTGCATCTAAACGTGGCACCGGATAATGAAAGTCATTTAATTGGCCGACTGAATTGTTGGTCTTTGCAGACTGATTTGTTAAGAATAGTTAACAACATAACAAACTACTAGAAAACTACTAGAATAACAAACCTAGTGCTGTTTATAAGAGCAATTTACTAAAACTGACTGATTTCAGGTTCGTGAAAAAGAAACCCAACGCCGAGCTCGTGTCGCCAAGAAAAACCGTCTATTGAACCAACGAGAAGTGGTCGACAAAGTGTATGGAAAAGTGACGATGCTGCTAACGGATCAACGATTTGATTGGGAGACACGACAACGATTGGAAGGCATCAAGAATGGATTGTATCACATTTTGGCTGAAAGGGACAAGAAGAGTCACCATGAAATCGCCGCTCACATGTACAAGGATTATTTGAGGTGAGGAAAGAAGGCCACTGTCAAGTGTTAAGACAATTCTGAGAGTGTAGCAAAATCTTGAGCCTAATTTTAGAAGTGAAGCCGGTGTGATCCGTCGTCCCGGACCTCTCCCCAAGCACATGTTACCCGAATTGGCGAACGTGACTGATCCAAAGGAGCGACAAAGGTTGAGGAATTGTGCCGCACAAAGGAGATACCGAGAAGCGACAAATGCCCAAGAAATGATGTACAATGAAGTGAGTCTGTTACTGATTTTGTAGTTGATAATGGATACAAATTCCAATATGGTTTGGTCACCTTTTAATTAAATAAAGATCATTATGGTGATCGAAAGTTAGATCGAAAGATCGAATGTGATAGTTTTTTTGGTGAAGTTTTATGTGTAAATGACTAGAGTGAATCGGTTTATCAATAATTTATCAGGGATTAAAAGATGAAATCAGCTTTTCAGATCATTTCAACCTTGAGTATCTCACTATGGAAAGGCACGAATTTCCCATGAGCTTTCGTTTCCGGATCACATACATCTTACTAAATTGAGTATGGAGATTCATAATCAGAAATCAAAATCTGCGAAATAAGCTTGCAAACGTGTAAAATGAATTGAAATTTTGAAAATAAGCTTTAAAGGGTGCTTTCAATCACTGGGAAGCGGGCACCGGTGAGATAATTTCTCTATAATAAGACCGGAGCTCGGTCCCGCTCTTAGTTTTTGGTTTTTTTTCTTCAAGTTCAATACTTTACATTGTAACTATTCAATATAACAAAGCAAAAGGTGAAATGTTAAAATATATGAAACGCGATCACAAAGGATCCAAAATAATAAAATTTTCGCAATGCGAACATCTAATAAAAGCGATTGAAAAGCGCCCTTTAAAGCTTATTTTCAAAATTTCAATTCATTTTATACGTTTGCAAGCTTATTTCGCAGATTTTCATCTTAGACTATGAATCTCCATACTCGATTTAGTAAGATGTATGTGGTGCTGAAACGAAAATTCATGAGAAGTTCGTGCCTTTCTAGAAACCTTGATCTTGATTTAAGAATTTCTAGAATTTCTAGCAAAAGTACCGTCAAATTTAAGGCAAAAATCAATCCCAAAAATTTGGACATAGTGATGCCTAGAGAGCGGGAAAGCTCAGTCGCTCCAAAAAAAAATATTCAGCTGTAAAATTGTGCCCGAGGGTTTTCGGAGTCGGAGGATCGATGGAGCTATTCATTCATTTATTGAGTCTAAGTTGAAACTCGGGTGAAGCCTTTCTTTAAGAAAACAACTTTTATAAAAAGCAAACTCTTTCATTAGCTTACAAAATCCCGAAATTTCAGGTCGTTCACAACAATGTGCCGTCATTGTTGAATCTGAAGTACCAACTACCTGAAGAACTTGCCGCAGGAATCGATGAGATCGTCAACGATCTCTGCTCAGCAACAAAGAAGAAAGAGCTGGACTCGTTGAAGCAAAATCTCCCAGTTCGTGAGCAGCATCTCATCGATGTCGGCACAAATAGTGATTAACTTTTTCTAAATTTTCTCCTTTCCCAATCTCAGCTCTCCAAAAAAGTCGCTACTTTATTCATGCCAATGATTGTCTCCATTGAAATTTCAGAAAATGTACCCCTACTTTGTGTTCAAATTTGCTTTTACGCTCATTGTTCATTTTGTAATTTCATTTTTTTTTTGATGTCAGCCATGATTCTACAAATGTTTCTTTGTTGGTTCTGGTGAATTTAGTGTTAGGCTGTTGACTCGCACTTTGTGCTCCTATAAACGCACACTCTCTGGAGCACTCAGTTCGTATTTTAGTGAAAAATGAGAAACAGATTACCAGAAAAATAGAAAGAGTTAAGATTCAAGTGTACCAGAAAGTGAGCGTTTGCAAGAGCACAAAGACTGTTCTGGTTTTGTTGGGCTTACAGTACAAGAAGCACAAGAAAGTCAGCGTACTTCGTGCTCTTGCAAACGGACACTCTCTGGCGCACTTAATCCATACTTTTACCTTTGAAAACTAGAGTTTGGTGTGCCAGAAATCATGCGTTTCCAAGAGCACAAAGTACACTGCGGCCTCGGATTACTTTTAGTTCGAATTCTATTTTCCTGTTGTACTTTAATCCAAGATTATTTTTTAGTCAAAAACTGCCGACATTTTTCCTACCATATTTTTCTATTTTCTATTGCTGAAAAGTTCCCAAGCTAGGCTTGAGCTTCTCATTTTTTCTACGAGTACATCCCCAAACCCGAAAATTTGAAGAAATTTCTTTATAAAAATGTTTTTGTTGTCTATTTGATTCATTATTTCTGTGCTGTTTGTTATTTTTATTCAATTCTTCAACTTTTTTGAATAAATTTATCGTGAAAATCGTGAATACAATAATCCCATTGTAAAGAAAATAAGAAAAGAATTCAAACATTAAAATGTATGAAAGTTTTTAGTTAAATTACAAATCGCAAAGCAAGAATGAAAAAAGAATAACAACCGTTTTAACGAGAGATTGATATGAAAGGGAATTTTTCGAAAAAAATGATCGTTTGAGGATTTATTGAGCCTCCACAACTGAAAAGAATGAGTTAAATTGTTAAATTGATGTGTAGCTTTGTGAACTTTTAGACTTTTAAACTTTTAAACTTTTAAAACTAATGATAGAATTAGAACTGATTCGATCAAAAGTTATGGAAGTGTCAAGGCAAAATTAATAAAGATTTACTCAAGAGTAAGGTCCAGAAGTTGTAAAGTGGCCAGATCAGGGCTAGTTTCTGCCTACTTTCTACTAGTTTTTGCCTACTTAAAGCTACTTTGATGACCCTGTTGACCTATTTTTATGGATCACGCCCTGGTTGATCTAATTTAAGTCAAATTGTAGTAATTTTTAGAAGTTTTTCTTTTATTCAAAAGCTGCAGTCAGTCTACAATTTCCCTTTTAATTTTATTTCGATACCCACCTTCACATCCATGTTTCACTTGAGGCTCAACATGCTTGAGGGCACTCTTGTCGAAATGAGCCGCCTCAACGGGAGCCTTCTCGCGGAGAATATCTGAATTGAGAAGTGGTTATTTTCCCATTCCATTTCACGAACCTTCTTTTGATGGAAGGATCACCTTCTCCTCAGTGCTCACCGGGTTCAACTTGCCCGAATCGAACTCCTCGATGTTGTGCGTAAGCTCTTGGTGCTGCTTCTCCTGCTTGATGTCTGAAAATCAATTTTATTTGTTATGTGATTCAAATCATTTCTCCTTTTCTAATTCTTTTTACCTTGAGGAGTAGGAAGGACTTGCTTTTCGTCAGTCGAAGTCCGTCGAAGCCTTTCCGGAGTGAAATGCGTGATTCCATCACAGATCTCGTTGTGAGTCTTCTCTTGGATGATTTCTAAAATAATTTCTCAAAAAAATCAAAAAGTTTCGACCACGGAAGGATTCGAACCTTCAATCTTCTGCTCCGTAGGCAGACGCGTTATCCATTGCGCCACGCGGCCACACGTTGTGGGGCTTTGAGAAAGACTAATGGATGGCTACGGCCTGTCAATGTCACATTTCCCGCCAAAACTGTTTTTTACTGGTCAAATGGCTTGTTGACAGTAAAAGAAGAAGGGTAAAAGATAAGAGTTGCAGAATTTCAGAGCAAAATTTAAAACTTTTGGGTTTATTAGTATATAATAGTTTAATAGCTTAATATAGTTGTGAAAAGTGGAGTGAAATCCTTTTACGAAAGAGGAATCAGACTTTTGCGTGATCGATGGGCTCAATTTTTGGAAAATGATGGAGATTACATTGTGGATTGATTAATTTGATGTAAATAAAGAAATTCTGATAATTTTAAACTATACAACGGCTTATTCGCTTTTAGGGAAAACGAAAAATCGCCAAAAATCCTTTTGAAATTATCCAAGCTTGGGATATTTTCTAAAGTTGAATTTCTCCGTTGTTTTGCAACAGAATTACATTAAATTTTAGCAATAACTAGCCCTAGACATACTATATTCAAAAACCAAAGCGCTTTTATGGCTATCAACAGATTATCTAATCTTTTCAGCGCTTTGCTCTCAGCCATTTAACCATAAAATCAGCTCAAACTTTTTTGTTGTTTCACGTTATTTCTCTGGAATCTAATGTCAAAAAAATGTAAAGAAATCGGTCTCTTAAGATGAGAGAGTTGAGACATGACAGTTTTCATAGCATTCATAGCATATGCGCAAACTTAATAAATCTAGTCTATCTAAACCCTAAAACGACTAACCAGTGGGACTCGGCAAGACTTGCTTCTCGTGGGTCTCCACTTTCTTCAACTCGACTCCATGAACAAGCGCCTGAATTTTCTATTTCTGTTGATTTTCCTTCAATTTCCCGAGCATAAGGTTATAAAATTTACCTTTGCAATGTCCCGATCGATTTTCGGGAGATCTTCGAGCTTTGGTGAAGTGGGAGCAACGTCGGTCATCTTTATCTAAAATTGTTGAGGTTTAAGGATTTGAAGACAACAAACAAACAAGGAAAATCAAAGGAAGTCAATGAAAATCTAATTTAGGTTTAATTTAGAGAAGAATAAAGAAGAAAACAACAAGGAAAAGGAAAGAAATAAGGAAATAACTACTGGCAAAAAAACCATCCGGACAATAGTAATTGAATAAAGCTAGAATCAATTTTTGAGGCATTAGCTGAGCTCCTAGGCGTACTTAAGGGAAAAATTTAAATCTTTACTAACCACAAAATCTCTTTACACCATTAAAAATACAGTTTCTGAGAGATTTTTGGTCAACGATTTGCTTCTTTCCTTCCGTTTCTCTCTAGATGCTCTTTCTTTGTCTCTGAGAAAGACGATTTCCTTGGATTTAGAGACAATTCTCGCAAAGGAGATGAGCAAACGGGGCATTGAAAGAAAAGGGAAAGACCCAAACCCTTTCCCTTTATGGAAAACCATTCAACAATGGGAATCAGCTGGTTGAGACGGGGAAAAAGGCTCTATAGCTCTCTACCCTTGAACCAATGTGTCCCACAACTACTGCACAACAGCTTTGATTCATAAATTCTATAGAATAGATCTATGAAAATGAAAAAAAATGAAATAGCGGATTTTCAGGAAAACCCGCATTTTTTTTCCAAATCATTGCTTTTTCTGAGTCATCGTTATGGGCTGAAAATGTTTTTCTCTCTCGTTTTCGTTCGCAAGATTTGTAATGACAAATTCATCGATTGATTTCAAATTTCGGTTTTGCAAAAGTGGAAATGGAGATTTTAAAAGGATAAAGTTGATCTGAAGCTTTAAAAATGATGATGATGAAAACGAAAATGATCTCGAAAATGATGTTCTTTGTTTCCTGGTAGTAAAACTGAACAGTTTAGTCAACAAGAGGCAACGAGTCAACAAATGCGAGTTTTTGAAACTGAGAAAGTGTTAGTCTAGTCAACAATGCAAGCTTTGAAATTGAAAAAGTGTTGTGAGCATTTGAAAAAGATTTGAACAAGTTTTGTACAATTTTCTTAAGAATAGATGAAAGATCTTTGAATTTTGAACTTAGATTTTCATTTGCTATTCACCCGCGCATAATTGCTCTCATCGATCCCCTGTAATCGACATTGAGCAAAGCCAATGGCAAGCGAAAATCACAAGGACAGCTGCGTTTTGAGGAACCTTCAAGTGGTCAAAATAGCATAAAAAGATGTCACTGTCACCCAAAGATAAATCGAGATTTAAAAAGAAGTAAAGTTGTAAACGAGTGATCTGTGCGTTGCTATAATTCTACAATTTGAGATTTAGAAAGCAAAATGTGCTCAACAATTTGATGTTCTTTAGGATTTGCTAAACTGAAATTCTAAATGAGAAACACAAAATTTCTGAAAGAAAATATTGGGTTGGTGAATTGAGAACTGCCGGCTATTATCATAGGTGACAGTTTGAGCACTTTCTTCAAAAGAAGCCTATTTTGGTGTCAATGGAAAAGTTGTAGAGAATCAAAAAGTAGGCTTATAGCCAAATTTTCAGAACGATTCAAAAACTGGTTTTCAAGAAATGCCAAATTTACGAATGCCAAATTTATGAAAACAAAACTTGCATTTTAAGCGAAACTACTAAGTGTATCTTTTTGGAAATTTGGCTATAAGCCTACTTTTTGATTCTCTACAACTTTTCTATTGACACCAAAATGGGTTTCTTTTGAAGAAAGTGCTCAAACTGGGCTGACGGCTGACATCTCCAGTCCTCCATTTTTGAGTCTCACACTTGTCTCACATACAAACCAAAATCCTACTACGAAAGAGGAATCCGCAAATTGCCTGTAAAATGGGCAGAAGTCGTCAATAATAATGGAAATTATTTGGAATGAATTGATGGTTTTATGTTGAATGAATTTTAGTTCAAAGTCCCGCAGTTTTCAATTCACCAAGCCAATATAACGGTACTTACCAAATTTTTAACAAAAATTTGGTAAGTAAACCTTAAACTGAATGGTTTGGGCTAACTTAGATTTTCATAGATTCCCATAGATTTCTAATGTTTCGAGGAAAACCCTATCCAAAACCTCAATAAAATCCATGTCATAAGCAACTTTGTTTACTGTTTACTGCATAAGGGAGCCGCTTCATTTTGCCCCCAAAAAAGGAAACAGAAAACACTTTCAAGAAATGAAAACAAACATTTCGAAATCTCGATGTTGTTGTCAAAGGTAAGCCAACTGTTTATGTGTGCTTATCAGCAATTCTTTCCATTCTTTTCATTCGAAAAGTTATCGAAAAAGGTTCACTCCCATATTTTCCCTTCGAATTATTCACCAGTCACAAGGGGCTCCACCCATTCAAGTTATCAGCTGTTTTTTTTGAAGAGAATTTTTTGGGCAAAAAATTGAATTGGGATTTTTTTTGGGTTTAACTTCAATTCAACCTCAATTTAACCTCAATTTAACTTCAATTTTAATATTATTTAGAACAATTAAGCAATTCAAAAGCAATTCAAAAGCAATTCAAGCAATTAAATCAAAAATTGTTTAAACCTTTGTTGGAATAGTTGAAAAATCTCATAAAATTTTGCAAGTGTCAATAACTTTTTTGCTATAGAAAATATTGAGCCAAGAGTAAATAAAATTTTCAAAAAAAAATGGGCCAAAACGAGAAGAACAAGGATTGAATTGAATGACGAAAAGAGAGCCATTGAAATGAATCGAATTGAGTACTTTAAGATATCAAAAGGTTAGTAAAGCTTACTATGAACTGGTTTATTCATGAATTTAACGTAAAACAAGGTAAAAATAACTCGTTTTTTTATACAGGATGAGTCATAGTACACTACTGGACAATGAAATATCATATTTGAAAAACGCGCGTCTGTAACTCCCTTATCTTTACCGTATTTCTAAATATTAATATTACCATTGTGTAGCCCTTGAAATGAGCTTTCAGAAAATGTATAACACTAATAGTTTAAACTCAAAGACAACGGATTTACAGGCGCGCGAAAGTGACGATCGTTTTTCCAATATGATATTTCATTGTCCAGTGCTGTAGTAGTGCTACACTAGGAGCACTAGTTGGCAACGAAATCGAATCGTCCATTGCTATTACTCGTTTAAATAAGTACTTTACAATTAATAAAATTATCAAATTAATCAAATTAATCAAATTCCTTGTTAAATATGTCCTTCCGTTTAATAGAATCAATTAAAATTGCTATGGAAAGAGGAATTGAAGTTTCTTCATTCTTGAAGAGGAAAAAGTAGCTTGTTTACATGTCTGGATGAACAGATTAGATTCTTAACACGTTGACGACAATGGCGTTTTTGCACAAACAATCGCATGGGACAACGTTGTGTTTTTTTCGACAAAAAATGTCACCTGACATCAGGTGACAATGTCCCAGGCGAACGAATATGTGTCAGACAGCATCAGGTGACAATGTCGTCAACGTGTTAACCACATTATATTCTTCTTAACTCAAAAAAAATAGATAAATCGGATCTAAATTTAGTTCGACAAGTCAATTTTAGACTCTTTTTAGTAAAAAGAACTAGCTGCTGACCTAGCTGCTGACCTAGCTGCTGACCTAGCTGCTGACCGACCTCGAGCAGTGGGTGGGTGGAAAATTTAGTTTTGAATCTGATGGATGGATGAAAAGAGTGGATGGGAACGAGGATGAGGAAAACAAGGAATGGAAAGAGGAATGGATGGAGAAAGATGGGGAAATGACAGGGAACAGACCATGTGTGGATGGGGAAAAGGGGAGGGAAGTGGGATGGAAGGAGGCACCTCCCCTCCCTCCATTCCCCATGTGTTATTGTGAGTCAGTGCACGCACCGCGCGCCTCTTCTCCCCCTTTCTTCCATTCTTTTCACTCTTTGTGAAAGAAAAGAGCAAGATATTCTATAGATGCATGTAAATTGAGATATTTAACCACAGCTGGAGACTTGATCAAGTCAAAGCACAAAGGAAACTAGCAGAGAACTTTTGGGAAATGTACTGCGTGTTTATCATCGTAGTTTTTATAATCTATTACAGTCAAATCTCGATAGCAAAAAAACTTCGTTAAAAAAAGATTTTTCCCTATCCCGACGAGTAAAACTAGTACAATTTTAACCTCAATAACAAGCATTACGGCTTTCCACCCTTCACTAAGTATCTGATATCTATTGGGTTGGTGAATTGAAAACTGCGGGACTTTGAACTAAAATTTATCCAACATAAAACCATGAATTGATTCGAAATAATTTCCATTATTATTGACGACTTCTGCCCATTTTACAAGCAATTTGCGGATTCCTATTTCGTAGTAGGATTTTGGTTTGTGTGTGAGACAAGTGTGAGACTCAAAAATGGAGGACTGGAGATGTCAGCCGTCAGCCCAGTTTGAGCACTTTCTTCAAAAGAAACCCATTTTGGTGTCAATAGAAAAGTTGTAGAGAATCAAAAAGTAGGCTTATAGTCAAATTTCCAAAAAGATACACTTAGTAGTTTCGCTTAAAATGCAAGTTTTGTTTTCATAAATTTGGCATTCGTAAATTTCGCATTTCTTGAAAACCAGTTTTTGAATCGTTCTAAAAATTTGGATATAAGCTTGATTTTTGATTCTCTACAACTTTTCTATTGACACCAAAATGGGTTTCTTTTGAAGAAAGTGCTCAAACTGTTACATATGACAATAGCCGGCAGTTCTCAATTCACTAACCCAATAGCTTCTAGCTTACAGGTTACCAAGAACTTTAGCACTAGTGGACAGCTATTACAGCTAAATATCTTCAATCTACAAAGCAAAAGAAGGTTCCTAGCTGGTATCTAAAATGCGCCCCAAACCGCAGCTATTCAGTCTATAGCTGTGGACTTTTTAGCAATGAACGTTTAAAAGGATTCGTTTTCTGTCATTATTCACTCATTTTTGATCATTTGTACTTCTTTGTGAATTGTAATACGTGAAGTTTCAGTATTTTCATTCTATTTTTATTTCTGTTTATGCCATAG